TGAAGATTTATTTTGACTTTTGACGTTTGTGTAGTAATATTTTGGTTTTTGATTATTGTAGGTGTTTTATGAAAATATTTTTTCCAAAAATTCAAATTGTTTCCTTGAAAAAAATCATGCAGTATTGATTACGAGTTCTGAGTTTGTTAGAAAATAGATATTTTTCTCCGACATTCGTCTATACTAAGGAATAGTCCAAGCTTTGCAATATTTTGTTTAATTAAGCAGAAATGGCAGATAGCAATGGTGAATTGAATGATGAAGACATCATTATTAATGATCAGGACGGTCTTCCAAATGTACATCCGAATTTGATACCAGAGGCCGAAATTGACAGTCCTGAACACCAAACAGATGACGAATTTGAGGACTTGCCTTCTTCACTAATAGTCACAAACATAAATGACTCTGTGTTTACATCCCAAGGTAAAAATAGCTTTTAGTCCTTTTTCCCCTTGTATATTGTTATTGGAATACTATTTCGATAGCTTTTTTACTATGCACAGTGCAAAGGAACTATGGGAACTCTGTAAATATTCCTCGTCACTTGCAGAGTCCTCATCAAATAAATGATTATTTTGGTTTAGTGTTCAATGATGATCCAAAGTCAAATTATTAATGTTTTCTTGCAATTCTCAGGCATCTCTTCTGAAAAAAAGTTTAATTTTGAGGTGATATCAGTTGAAAAAGTGCATCATTTGATGACAGTTCAAACAAATGGCATAGAAACTGATTCGGTATCAATTTAAATTTTGAAATATTATAGCCCATTCTTAGATAAATATTTGACACATATTTTGAACTGTCGATTGACAGCCAATTATCATCTTGATTAATTCCAGTGGTGCATTTGCTTTTTCAGCAAATATTTTACCAGATGATCAGGTGGGATTCAGAGTAGATGTTTACCTTTAATACAGGTTGCTTGTGATACTGTCCAAAATACAGATAGTAAACATGTGTCAGCTTCAGTAGCTTTATCTCCGAATCCTTCAACACTACCAATCATGGAATTCTTTGCAGCAAGGTATAATACTATAGATTTTCCAAAATGTATGACCTCTTGAAATCTTATTTAGCACTTTGCCTGCCTTAGCGATGAAACTGACATTAATACATTGACTTCAAAGTGGGTTTTGCAACATAGATAAAAATTTTACCTTTTACACTACTATATGCAGAGATAAATGGGATCCATCGGTGGACTCATCGGTGAATTTGAAGATTTGGTTTTATTTTTTCCCAGATATAAAATTAAACCCTAAGAACGATTCACTACTCTTTACTCTGACCATTTTGCTTAGTCTGTGTGGGCACGTACGTGGCAGACTGCATAAACTGTTTTGGTCACATTGTCCAAAGTGGCGCTTCAGCCTCAAGAGGAGTTCTCTGTCTAATAGACTAAAATATTGTGTTAACAAGAAGATCACAAATTTTTCAAGTCGATAATAAAAAATTGTCTTCCAGAAAAACAACCTCGGGTGTACCATGGGGAACTCTTTGAGGTTCACTATTAGATTAGATATTCTATATTCATTCAAGTGTACAATACATAATACCCAAGCATGTGTAGAACATGTCAATAATACAAACAGATCATAGATTCATTCAGATTCACTATTCAGACAAGCGATATATTATTTGTTCCAAAAAATTTGTAATATTCACTCTTACGCAGATGATACTTAACTGAAGATTAATCGGGATATGAAGGATATCCATCATGTATACAAATTTCATGAAGAGTGGCTTAAAGTTATTATGTGACATCTCTAAGAAACATCATTTTAAATTCAATCCAAGAATATCTCAACTGATTTTATTTCGAATGTTCAAAAACTAAACAAATCTCAAAGCATCTCAGTTATGTGAGACCAGTTATCAGTAGAATTGTTAACCAATGACCACTCTCCATAACTCTGAAGTAAGCAGTCATTGTGTTCTAGAATCATGTGCCCTGAGCAGACATTATGAACTAAGAATGACAGCCTCCTGCATCTTTTGGCTGCTGTTTTGAGGCAAGCCTGTATGACTTCAAGATTAAAGAGTAGTGTAGGCATCATTTCACCTAGGACTATCATAATCAGCACAACCATTTAAACAGCTTGATCTGGGTAGAGTCTGCAGAGTTGAAAGAGTAAATCTCAATACTTCCTGACAAATATCGTCTAACTTTGATGGTCAAGGAGGACTACAACAAACTACAACAGGCTTATTAGCTAGTATTTGCCTGAGGATGAAGAATGAGTAGTTCAGTTACACTTGTCACATGTGTTTACTATTTTCAAATGAATCGATTTTCAAGAGATTTGAATACACTTTTCACCTAGATATAGATCAAAATACTCGTACAATCCATGTACAAACGATCAGTAGAATTAATAAATCAAAGAAATTAATGAAGTGAACAATATACGATTCATCCACTTGTTTAAAAAACGTGAACCAACAAAAACTTATCAGCCAAAAAAGTGTTTATATTTGAACTGGTTAATAAAAAGTAACAGGTCAGGACTCCAAAATACATGCAGAATGGTCAGATCTGAATGCATCTGAATTGGAGGTAATGGCATTAAAATGAAAAAGGCTGTTGAGTTTTTTTGTGAAGATTGCCTAATGTAACCAAGAAGATTGATGAGTTGTTATCTGAAGTTGAGAAACTGAAATCTCGAATTCAAAAAGAACAATGTTCATTTTTTTTCCAACGAAACAGGCTTCAATGAAATATACGAAAGACAAAATATGATATTTAATTAATCTGAAGGCATTTCTGATATGAATACTGTTAAGGAAATAGTTACTCATATTCAAAGTTGGTCGGAAGAATAAAAGTGGTAACTGTGCCACAAAAGTAATTTTTTCATGCATAGAAGATGCTAATCGAAAGAAAAAAGAATTGACTTATAAAAAATGTTGGTGATCATCTATACCACTTACAAGTGAAAAACTTTCAAAACATGATAAAGAGGTCGTAGGGAGAAGATCTTATATCAAAATATGTGAATGGAGCACTCCAAATCACTATAGCAGCTGCAATAAAGTAATACCCAATCAGTTATCTATGTATTTTCAAAATGTCATCATTAAGTGAAGAAAACTATTAGAATTTCAACAAACTGTTATATGTTGAAACTATGATTTTATAATTTTAGTAGAAACATAGCTTAATAAATATTTCTCTGATAGTAAATTAGGTTTGAAAGGTTGCAACATATATGGTAGATTTGATAGACCTTTGATAAAAGAGTTGATCGAAATCCCTCCTGGCAATGTAGAACATCTGTATGTTAAATTATTAATAGAGGCTTCACAATTGTTATCGGAGGTGTATATATTCCTCCTTTTTCTTTAGTAGATGATCATACTTTGTGGTGACTACAATATCCCTGATGCATTTTGGTTTAGTGAAGATCTTGGTCTGAATGTTGATTGTCCAGAAAAATCACCTGGACTAACTTTATTGCATTCATTCAGTTTCCATAATTTATATCAAATCAATAATATTCCACGTTCAAGAAATGTTAACTTAGATTCAATATTCTCATCAATCATTAATATGTATGTTCAAAATCAATTCGACCAATCTTGAAAAATACATTACATCACTAAGCAATTTGTTTTCATACAAAAAATGATACAAAGGAATATCTAAAATATAATAATAATAATAACGATGTATTTTCCCAAGAAACATACAATATTTATAGCAGGGAAAAAAATAATTCAAAAACTAACTATNAAAAAGTAAATTTTTGATATTTGCCTATATTTAATTGCAGTAGATTTATATCACACCAGCGAACAAAGTTAGATAAATCGTGCTAGTCGATTCAATTTTTCCGTCCTTTCATGGATCTCTTCAATCTTGGGGACAGGAAAAGTCGCAGGGGGCAAATCTAGTGAATACGGTGGCTGAGACTTGATAACGATGTTGATTTTGATAAAAAAATCACGAACAAGTAATGACGAGTGAGCAGGTGCATTATCGTGATGCAAAAGCTATGAATTGTTTTTCAACAATACCGGACGATTTCTTCGTATTGCTTCTCGCAAGTGGCGCTTAACTTCAAGATAATACTCCTAATTGACCGTGCGACCATGTGGCAAGAACTTCTCATGCAGTATGCAACGGTAATCAGAAGGAAAGGATTTGAACTTCTGATGACTTTATAAAGCCTCCCTCCAAAACCATTCTGTGATGGGGACATTCCAAACTCGAAAGTCCACAGCCTTCCAGTTGTCAGGAATGGTTGATTAAACTCCTACGAAGGTTTTGAGGTTTTCACGTCGAGTTGGTAAGGTTCACTTGACTACTCCTAAAGAGTAGAATAGGATCGGAATGGCAAGCATGTTTATAGCAGCAACTTTGTTCTACCTCGACAGTTCTGATGACCAGATCTGCCAGAGTTTATGCTGATGCTTACCACAGAGAGAGTTTTAACTGTACTTACTTCTTGTTCCATCCTATAGTAAGTATCGGTTTTCTCCAAGAAGATAAATGTCTCCGAACCGGATATAAGAATGTCAGGTCAGACAATTCCTTTCTGCTTTGATAAGTTTGTTGGGGGTTAAAATGGACACCAATATGTCTTGGCACAATCATGTCGTTGGAATTGCAAAGGCTGCTTCTCAAAAGCTTGGAACACTATTCCGAATCAGAAAACTGTACACACTTCAGCAACTTTTGATGCTTTATAAAGCTCAGATCAGACCTTCTTTGGAGTATTGTTCTCATATATGGAGCTCTGCCCCCAAACATACCCTGAAGTTGCTGGATTCCATCCAGAAAAGAGCCATCCGCCTGATTGGAGACGCGAACATTCCGTGCCACCTTGGTAGCCTGGAACATCGAAGAAAGGTTGGAGATTTGTCTCTCTTTTATAGATACTTTCACGGGAAGTGTTCAAGTGACTTAGCATATTTGATTCCACTGCGTTTATGTGGAATTTTCCAAATGGATTTAATCTTCAGCGATTCAAATCTAATGTGAATCGCTACTTACGCTCAGGCACCGCTCTGAGAGCGCCCTATGGATTTTCCTGTAGCACTTGTGTTTTGTCCTTAAAAAAAAGTATGAGATTATGTTTTGTCTTCCTTTGAGTTGTATCGTTCCACAATTTTCTGTTCTGCATTCCAAACCAATAGCATGCACGAACTTTTCCAGAACCCCTAAAAAGTAATAAAGATTCTCTTCTTCAGAGGCATAGAGTTTGAGATCATCCACATTAAATAAACGAGTGACCTTGTGCCTTCGTTCTCTGTGGTTGTACCAACAAGTATTCCTGAGAGAAGTGAATAATGGCAATAGTAATATACAGAAAAGAAGGAAACTGAAGGAATCTGCTGGAAATACCCCTCTTCTGAAAATGACCCGCTCTGTTTTGTACTTAGCTTGATCCGATGTGGTGAAGCAAAGCTTCCAGAGTGGTATCAATTTTTCAAGGCATCTCACTACTTGGTTGGTGCCGCAAGACATCTGCCCAAAGGCACACTGAGCTCATACACTGTTGTATCAAATGCCTTGAAGTAATCTATTCCAGGTCATGGAGAGGGTACGCTTGTACTGCTCTGAGACATCCTCATCTATCCATGAGGAAATTCTCCTTGCAGTCAGCCAAACCTACCTCTCTTTGGTTCTCTCTGCTTATCTATCCGTTGAAATATCATCATCATTAGTATTATTTATTTCTATTATTTCAGCCAAAAAGCATGAAATGGAAGATCTCTTCAAAAATTTTGATCCAGACGTAACGTTCCAATGGCTAAGGAGTTTTCACAGACTTCGAGTAAACTTTCAGACTCCTTTCGCAGCTGCCAGCGCTCGAATCCAGCTACATCAGTACAAAATTAACGATTCCGTGATCACATGCTACTTTGCACAGCCTGTTACACCTGTGAGAAATCCAAATTTACAACCACCTGCACCTTACAAACAGTTTCTGATATCTCCTCCTGCTTCTCCACCTTTAGACTGGGAGCCTCGCCCTGAAGGGGAACCTATCATCAATCACGATTTGTTGGCTGCTTTGGCTACCCTTACTCCAGGAGGTACCCACGAATTACATCCACCTTCTCCTGGACAACCAGCTATAGTGGTTCATACTGCTTTCGGAGTAAATAACTCTGGTCCAAAACCACGGGTTTCGCAAACAGCTTGTCCTGAGAGAAGTTAATTTCTACTTGTTGGTATGTAAATAAATAGGGAGTTAGTTACTTAATTTGGATTCATGCAGCAGCAGTTGACAGTTTACAAATATACATTGAAAATGATTTTCCCTGTTGGAATTTTGGGCAATACATGTTTGAAAAAAGTATAATACAAAATAGTGTATTTTTTAAGAACCAGTTTGTAAAATACAATTTGTTTATTGATAACTGATGCTGAATAAATCCTCTGTTGCTTTAGTCAAAATCCAAAGTTTATATTCCTTGGCTAAACAAAATATATATTACCAAAGGGTTTCATAGTTTCTGAAATATTGTTTGTAAACATAATGGTGTCAAAAAGATTGATTATATTAGTGCAAGGAGAAGTGTTTGGCAGTTAGATTTTCATCAGATTCATTTACACTAGGAAAACAAATTTCAAAATTATTAATTTTTGAATGAGATGTGGGTAATTTCAACGTTGTCATTTAAGAATTATAAATTAATCAGTTCTCTCCTAATTGAAATGAACTCGAAACTGAAGTTGTTCTTGCCTATTTATACGCTGCTGTAGATGTGGTGTGGAAAATCCTGATTGATCGACAGTGTGCATGGTTGGTGGGATATGTCACGAATTGGTCAAGTTCTTCATGTCCATGAGGCTAAATGATGAAAATGTCGATATATCTTTACCATAATTTGGGTTTCATAGGGGCGTTGTTCAGGGTCTTGCTTTCGAAATAGCCCATGAATAGGTTGGAGATGACAGGTGATAAAGCAGAACCCATTGGTGCACCCTCTATCTGTATATAAAATCTGTTGTTGAAACTGAAATATGTGTTTTTTCAAGCAGTGGTCCGAGAGTTCGATAATGTGAGCTGGTAGGTCGTTCATGGCTATCTGGTTTAGTGCTTCATTTATTGGTACGTTGGAGTACTAAGATATGTCCAAACTGGCACATATATTGTTTGTGTACAATGTGATGTTTTTTATGAGTCTGATTAAATGCTCTGAGTTTTTGACATATGATTGATAGATAGATAGATAGATAATATATGTGTCTCTTTAGGTTGTTCTTACAACATGAGATATGTCAAAAAAAAATGAAAAACAAACAACAAGTACAAACACATTAAGAATAGTCAATTTCGATTGTTCATGCTCTGTTAGTGGCTGCATTAAGCTGGCCAGCTATATTTCAAGGGGCTGCAGTGGAGATGTAATTGCGCTGACGATGGGTATCTTTTGTTTGTGGATTTTTGGTAATCCATATAACTTGGGACATCGGCTGGACTCTTCTCTAGAATAGACTTATATCCAGATCTGAATGCTTAAGTGGCAGATGTAACTAGGAACGAATGATAACAAGTCTAGATAATGCTATCTATTCATATTCAGAAATGTGACTTTGGGAATTTTTTCTAAATTAGTTAATTTTTAATATTTTGTTTGGCCAAGATTCTTGAATCTTATAAGTTTTCCTTGAGTATATATATATACGTATTGCTAAAATTTGAATCAAATTTCGATATGAAACTATAAGGAAATTTTGCCTTTGGTAAACCTGGATTCCTATTTTATGTTTAATTTTTGAGGTGAACTAAGCGTGAAATAATTTTTGTATTAAACAAACAGCTTTTTTTGTGATATAGTATTTAGTTAATTTATCAAAGTGGACTGTTGAAATGAATGTTTTTCAGTGACCGTTTTGTACCTGACATGAACAAATAAACAATAATTCAATATTGTGAAAAATAATAATGGCATATTTCTCATTTATCACCTGTTTAAATTTTTACATTTTCAACATTTTGAGAGGAATATGTTGAAATACATGGGCAATATATAAAATAGCAATGAACCCTTCAGTCAAAAAAAATAATCTGTTTTTCCGTTAACCAGCTGTCGCATCCCGACGATCGACAACCTTTAGAAGTCGAAACTTGTGCGAGCTAAGGACTAACGAGGTCTTACCTTTTAACGTGTGATTCCCAACACGGGTTGGACGATAGCAAGTGAAAATCGATCATTTAGCCTGGGGCTTGAACCACCGACCAACACGGCGGTCGATTTGAGTGAGTTAACAATGCACCCACGTCGAACCGACCGGCTACCGACCGTTGAAATGTATAACTATTATTTATATTCTTCAAATGGGATATGTATTAGAAAATGAATGTTTTGAAATGAAATCTCGAAATATTTATCGTTCCCAACTACCTACATCGTAGGTTCTGGTAAATACCTGCCAGAAAACACCAGCTAATACCACGCTGAATATTGATTTACATCCGACAATCATTTATGCAGAATACTTCACAGAGATGAATATTTCGAGATTTTACTTTGAAATCTTAATTTTCTAGTACGAACGTATCTTTCCTTGATATAGTCTTCAGATACGGTTTGATCTCTGTAAGAATATTGTTTCAAAACAATTTCTTTGTCGACAGATTTTAAACAGAACAGATAAACTTTTTACCGAATTTGCCCGGTGTTTTTAAAAATTTGTATCCTTAACTCAAACAAATCTCTGAAATAACATATCTGATCTTGTCGGTGTATATAATATAAGCTGAAATAACATACTAGAGTTGTCCTTGAGTATCTTAAATATTTAATTGTAATAATTATAATCATTTTATTGCACTAAAATACATGATACAAAGATGTACAAGCCAATCAACAAAAGAACAAGTATGCCAGGTATCGAACCTGTAAAAATTGAGATAATCATCAATAGTGAAGTCTAGGAGAATTTTGAGAAGACATTTTTTCATTTTATTGAAATCACTATTATTCTCAATAATATATGGTAAGTGATTATAAAATTTGATGCAGGAGTATAAAGCAACTCTTTTAGTGATGATAGATGGTGATAAGGTAAATTATAATTAAATACACACTTTTTGCCATACGAGTGTACCATATTATTTGTTTTTGAACAAAAACAATAATATTTGCTCATAATATTCATTCTTTCCTTTATTCAAAGTTTCAGTACAAACTTTTGCAGCCTTGAAATGTTCTTTGAAAAGTCAAAATATTGTACATTCTATTCTGGGCTTCAAAAGCTTCCAAACTTTATGTGGATAATGCATTAACAATTCGATCATAATTTCCAATAATTTGTACTTTTTATTTGAATGGAATACAAAGGAGACCATATTATTGAATCATATTCCATTTTCGAACTAATTAGTAAAGTATGGACAGAGATATTGAACAAATTGAGAATAAAATTTGCAAATAACAAAGGCAAACTGTGACTACCAAATGATTAATAAGACTGACAAAGAGTTTTTCGTTAAATATTATGTCCAGAACTTTAATGATGGCAAGAGTAGTTTTGTCATTAACATAGGAAGTGTCAAATTTTTAGTCTTTATGTGGGAAAGGTGATGTGACTGCATTTATCAGGATCCATAGATAGTGTGTTTCTATTACATAAATGCATTAACCTATCAATATCGTCTTGTAAAAGTCATTGCAATATCTATTTTTTTTTATTCAACGATTGCTGACATTTCAGAAAATTTGTTTATTAGCAGGATGACCCGCATTGAATGACATGGAAAAAAAAACAGTTATCGAAGAATGTAAACCTTGACGGCCGGAGATAACTGTATGAAGGCTATTTTCCGGGTTTTCTAGCCGTGATCTGTATATTTTTATGCCTGAAGTTGCGTCTACTGCTGTGGTGGACATTTTCAAAGTCGATGTGGTAACGGTAGCAACACCTGAGCTGGTGATCTGGTTCTTGTTCTTGTATCCAACGCATTAACTACTATTTCCGTACTGGGGGCTCTATTTATATCGTTCTTAATTGTATTAAGTGTTTGTGTTTGTGTACCTATAAGAACAGGTAGCCAGTTTTTATTAATATTCATTGTCTCTTCTTTTGTATTGAAATTATATCGTTCTTAATTGTATTACGTGTTTGTGTACCTATAAGGACAGGTAGCCAGCTTTTATTAATATTCATTGTCTCTTCTTTTCTATTGAAATTATCCCTATGCTTCTGAATCTCTATTGCCTCTCTATATATTCTTAGGTAGTAATTTTGGGTACTGTCGAGTATTACTGTGTCTTCAAATGAGATAATGTGGGTACCTTCTTTGTTGAGAGCATGTTCGGCCACAGCCCACTTGTCGGTTTGTCCAAGACGACAGTTTTTCTTGTGTTCGGAGAGACGGGAAAAAAAAAACAGAGTTTCATTTTTCATGATGATCTACCACGTAGTAACGAATACATCCATCAATTTATTGAAAGAAGTAATATATATCGTTCAGTAATTTCTCAACATAATTGAGTACACTGGGAATTAAATTATAAAATAGTTTACTGAAAGTTTTTTTGAACCTGTACGTTCTTGACATTATCAGTTGGAATTATATTAATAGCTTCATATCAATATCATTTATTGACAATATTCATATCTACCAGGGCATCACTGATAATTAGTTTTGGGTGGAAGTGCATACCCGATTTTATGAATAAATTGAAAGTTGTTAATAATATAAACAAATAAGTGTAAAATATGTTATACTTCTAAATAATATCTAATGGTGAAAAATAATTATAACATTTTTGTAACTTAGAGAAAATCAAATTGGTTGTTAGGCAATGCTTCATAACATTCAGTATGTACCTATTTAAATTCCACAAATTAAAGAATAATTTGTCAAATGAAGATAGGGCTCAATAACTGACAAAGTGGTTGCCTGTGTTAATTCCAGGTTTCTCAAATTGAAATGTTTATGAATCCCTGGGAAATTAATCAAGTTTTTCAAAAATAGTCGGTTCCATAAAAACAGATCTAGAAAACATTTATTGTCTAACAGAATGGTCCACATATCATGTGTATTATTTATAGAAAAGAATATCAGGTTTCCTATACTTCTAATAAGTAGAATAGAAGTTTACATAGAATAGATTTTCAAGAATATTGACATGACTTCAACATATACAGAGAAGTACATAATAAGTACGTAGAAAGTACTCAATTTCATTTGTAAAAATTTCGTGGTGATAAAATTACTCTTCGTGATATGTTCCATTAATGTTAAAAATACATAACCTTGAGAATTACTTCAATTTGTTGGTAATTTATCAAAATTATTTTTCCTTCCCACCAGAACTTTGGAGACACTCATCTCTATATACATTTCAGGAAACCAAATCGGTATCATAAGATGATCATAACTGACTTTTTCAAATGAACTCAATAATATAATACTTGTTCTCATTGTGGGATGTAAAGTTCGTTTTTCGTCTCCTGTATGTGGTTAGATAACACTAACTCACATGCTTATAACTTACTTTTCCTCTCGGTAACCTAGCGACGAATTGTTTATTAAACTGTCTATGACAATTTGAAATACGTGACAACAGTTCAATTTTCATCTGTGATTGAAAAACGCCAAATCAACGAAAGGATCGAACTTTTCATCCCACAGTGAGAAAAAATCGTATACCCACAACAGGTGAAAAGTACCGCATCATCGCCCGCGACAAAATTACGCGGGCGATAATGCTGTACTTTACTCCCTAAGTGCGTAATATACTATTTTCATGTAATATTCAACTCAATTTGTTACTTTTTCCACTGAGCTAAAAAAATTGCAGTTGGTAAAAGTCGACTTTCTTGATGGTATACTAACAATCAATTCATTGTTGTTTTTCAAATATTTGTAGATGCCTCAGGTTTTTATATGACTTGTCAGTACTTTTACTTTACTAGTGATCTGCAACCTAATCGATCTTCAAATTATTGAATCCAAATAAAAAATAAAAATGGATATACGGTTGGCAATTGTCAGGTGTACATATATCAACCCAAAAGAATCATTAAATTACAGGTAGTCAGGGTAAAGTTCTATATGTTTAACTTGATAAAATTTACTTTTCCTAGGCAGCCGTCTAAAAGCAAGTCTAAAATAATTCGTTTATCCAATGATACATAACTAAACTGAATAAAATATCGACATTCACTGAATATTATCTATGTACGGAATGTAAGTCTGTTATTATCTATGTACGGAATGTAAGTCTGTTAAACACCTTTAATGGCTATTTACTCATTTATGACCTGATTTTACAATATAGAGTTCAATAAAAATATCTTTGTCATGAGTTGAGAATATACATTAAGAATTAGAAAAAAATCTGATCTTCAATAGACTCTTTGGCTTTGCATTTCTCAGATTGTAGTGAACCAATAGAAAACACGATCTTTTATGTTGAAGTCCTGTTAATTTTTGCAGCAATATAATCATATGTTCTGACTCTCAAGAAGTATACAGAAGCTTATAATTTTTGATTTGTTGAAATCATTACAATTCAAAAATGTCATTCTCTGTCAGAGGACACTGAACAATCTCATGATACTTAGAGGTTTCAATATGGCCATTTGGCATTAATACGTTCATTCTTTTTTAAATCGTTTTCACTTAGATTTCAGATTCGCCGTCGAAAGCTTTGACAGAAACTTCTATGTATCAGCATTATGAAAGAGCGTTTTTGAACATGATCCCCTTGTATGAAAATAATGTTGTTATTATCATTCACACATATCTGTTTTTGAATACCTGTATATTTTAAGTATAAGTAGATTTGGCTCTATTTCAATAATATTCATTTTCTTCAACGAGTAATCAGTTGATTCCTTCCCTTAAAGAATAATGTAATGGTGACTGACCACTTTATCGCTAGAATGAGTTATTTTGTATCAGTGAAACTTGTGAGTGGTCATTTGAAAGAGTTCATCGGTTAAAAAAATATTCATATACTTGTGGTTTGTTTTTGTGAACACATCTTTTGTTTTGTACTAGCTGATAATATGGGGTTAGGTTCCACTGTTGAAAACTGATTTTATTCTGATTAAGGAATTATTACAAAACTTTCATCAACAATCGTAGTGAAAACATCCACAAATCTCAATCAATAACCCATTTCCACTGATGTTCTGTATGTCTCATGAAATATTTTTGTATGATGTTAGTAAGAAAGTTATTTATTGTTACTTTATGTGGATTATTGCAATATTTATGCTAATACATGAATCTGTGTATTTTCTTCTTCAATAATTAAAACTTTTCTAAATGTCGAAAATGCATGAAATGAAATATAAGTGTTGATCAAAAATCTAAAATTGAAAAAAATGCATTCACTGAATTACTTTTTGAAATTTTCCCGGATATAACTGAGTACTTTGTTTTGCACATTGCTTTTTGATTAATTTGCTCACTTTATGAAACCCACTTTAATTTTTCTGTTGTATACAGATATTCTTCATTCCTTAATAATTTCGTGAGGAATTTGGCCTTGAACAATAAATGCATAAATAACATGTATATGTGACAAATATACCTATGTAAATAAAGTTAATTGTTAAAATCTGTATTGTTTCATTCTGTAGCGATACAATATTTTTGTTTTTAATTTACATATATTTTCACATCTTGCATATATGATATCTCAAGGTAAAATATCCAATTGACAATTTTGATATCTGGTATATCCACTGAGGAGAGAATATTAAAATAATAACAAGTGGGGAACAGAAAACTAAGGTAACTTCTTCTTCAAAAAAAAAAGATATTTTGTTTAGACGTATAACAAAAATTTTTATTTGTAAACAGTAATCAAGGCAAATTGAAAAGTTAATGCACAGTATAAACTTCTAAAAAAAAAGTGTGATTGACTAGTAACCTTTCATTTTATTAATATTGCTCAGGGTTACTAAATAGGGGGGATGTGAAACAAAGGGGCATCAGTGATATAGTTACAGCAATTTTGACGTTACTGATACTGAACTAGAATTCTAGAATTAAAAATTATTCTGTAAGTTTATTTCATGAATTTTCCTTGAAAATTTTTATCGATAATGTTATATTCTAGAGTGTATTGATAGTTTGTAATGTTTTAATAATGCTAGGACATAAGTGTTGTGTAATTAAATGTTTGAACAATTATCCAACATTGTGAAACCACCTTTTGAGTTTGTTCGATGTATTTGGAAACACTCTGTATACCTTACGATTTTTTTTAAGAAGCAGCCGGCATGTTGGTACACTCTGTATAACCTCATGGCAGCCATGTTTTTTTAACGCCGCACAGTCTGTATACCCCCACGGCAGTCATTTACAATATGGGGTTTGAATGACATTTTTGGGCTAGGAGTGATTCCTAAATCTTTGATTATATTTTTTGTTTCCAGTTCTGATTGCTCGATTTTATATGTGTATTTCCAAAATTTTATATGCCCAAACCACAAATGGGTATTGGTTACTGAAGTCAGTAGATAAAAAGTTCCAAAAAAGTTTGCGTTCTCATATAAATTCAAAAAATTTGTGTCCCTCTTGTCACATATATTTAACCCCTTGGAGAAAAACGTAAACGTCTCAATATTCGAAAGTTTAGAAAAATTGAGACATTCATTACATTAAATATTTATGTGATGTAATATTTTAAGTAATGGATTTATAAGAAATAAATTTGTATAGTCAATATTGCGATGCTTGAAGATGCTATGGTATAGCGAAACACTGTCAAGTGAAAATCTCGCATCGAACACATCAAACAAACCTGTGAAAACTCAAAGGGTTGTTTTCACTCGTTTACAGGTATTGGTTTTTATATCATTTGATATGTGAATTTTCTTCGGGAGTATCTGGCAGGCTCATAGACCTCCACACAGTGTCAACTCCACGAGTCTGTTAGGGACATTTTGTAATGATTTTTTTCCATACTAGCCATACTAGATATTCATTCCACGAGAGAACAATCTAACAATTTCATAAACTCGATTAGTTTCATCTGCAGACTTTTTACTTACAGGAAACGTTGCCATCTTTTATTAGTTAAAACTTTTAATGTCATTGAGCAACATCTTTATGATTTGATCAGGACATCCAAATCTATTTTGCAGTATCTGTATCTCATTTTGTGTCATTATGAGAAGAGTACGTACTACTTTTCTAGTATTCTTTCAAGCATTTTTGTTTTGTAATCTTACTTGATTCCCTTCGTCAAATTAACCACATTATTATACTGATGTATAAAATTGATCCAATCGATAGGATTGCTATAAAAAATTGCCAATTCACTTGTTGAAGACTGTCGAGTTAGAATCCTAGTGATACATGGCTATTTACTCATTTATGACCTGATTTTACAATATAGAGTTCAATAAAAATATCTTTGTCATGAGTTGAGAATATACATTAAGAATTAGAAAAAAATCTGATCTTCAATAGACTCTTTGGCTTTGCATTTCTCAGATTGTAGTGAACCAATAGAAAACACGATCTTTTATGTTGAAGTCCTGTTAATTTTTGCAGCAATATAATCATATGTTCTGACTCTCAAGAAGTATACAGAAGCTTATAATTTTTGATTTGTTGAAATCATTACAATTCAAAAATGTCATTCTCTGTCAGAGGACACTGAACAATCTCATGATACTTAGAGGTTTCAATATGGCCATTTGGCATTAATACGTTCATTCTTTTTTAAATCGTTTTCACTTAGATTTCAGATTCGCCGTCGAAAGCTTTGACAGAAACTTCTATGTATCAGCATTATGAAAGAGCGTTTTTGAACATGATCCCCTTGTATGAAAATAATGTTGTTATTATCATTCACACATATCTGTTTTTGAATACCTGTATATTTTAAGTATAAGTAGATTTGGCTCTATTTCAATAATATTCATTTTCTTCAACGAGTAATCAGTTGATTATGGAATCCTCTGGGAGTTCATTAAGAAGCTGCATTTAATTGGTCTGGTTCGAAAACCTTTGCAGGTCACTTTGGACCTACCTATATTTTTTCGTAAGTGGTGTGGTGTACCTACATGAACTGATTTACCACATAATCTTTGGAAAAATGTAATAATGTAGGAAAAGTAAAACAACAATTTAAAGAAAAAATAGTTTCAGAAAAAATATATTTGATAACACAAGTTCATATATTTGACGAAACTTCTGTCTTTTTCAGGTGTGCCAGGAATAATTTACAGGATTTTTTCTAAGTAATACATTTTCTTACTAATATCTAGTATATCGCAAAGAGAAAAAAATTGCTATGTCAAAAAATACATTTCATACCCTGTTTCGAGAAAAAGTACGACAATGTTCGTCACTCAACAAAATAAATGTACTTATTGGGAAAGGAAGATTTTGGTTTTTTACTTCTTCCTCTTTATGCAAAAAAGATGGAAGAAAGCAATTGAATTGAAAATCATGTATATTCTATACATGATCTACACATCTTTGTATAGACTTTATTTCGAAATTGCTTTCTTCCTTCCTTTGGAAGTATCCCATATTTTCTTTAATATAAAGATGGATAAGTAGAAAGCAAAATTTTTCTTTCCCAAAAATTAATCTCTCCTAAAAATATACCCCTTAAACAATGTACATACTTTTATATACAAACATACGAATATCACAGGTATAGGAGTAGTTTGTTGAATGATCTTTTATCATGTTTTATAATTTTTACATTGGCTGGGGTTTATCTAAATATTTTGAGCAAAAAAAGACAGTTACTAGTAAATCTCAGGTTTACTTCATTTATAATATTTATATAACTGTACTTTGGAGGTGAAGGACTCAATGTCCGCTTCAAATCAAAACCAAATTATTCAATCCCATGTCAACATTTTTTATCTATCCAGTGGTATATAAGACCGATACCAAGACTTGGGCGAAATACATGATATGAAAGGAACACCTAGGACACGAAATATCTTTTATTATGGGTCTGCTGTAGAATATAGTAATTTTCTTTTGATTTCTTTTATCTCCAAGTTACAGATATTTCATTTTTACCAATATTGCGCAGAATTCGATTCCCGTGAAATCCTATAATTTGTAAAAAACTAGTACAATATAAATATTTTTCAACTAATTTTTGTACTACTAGTAAATAACTTTCGTTTTGCAAATATAATGAGTCAAAGATGAAAATATTCCTGTTATTTTCCTTAGATCATTCTCAAGTGAGTGGTATGTTTTCAGAGTAGTACAAGATTAATAATAAATTCACTCAATATCAACAAATTCAAGTAGAATAAATGAGTATAGGTAAGTACTTCAATCACAACCTCGATATTATTTGAGGCAAACCCTATTTCTTCAATGGTTGAAGTTGTTCAGATTCTACCTTTGCACTAATCTCGTTCTTATCGCCTTTTCTGAAAATCGATGTGAAGAACGTATCGCCGACTCCAAAGTATTCACCTTCCTCAATGGTCTCTGGCATAGGCTTGTTGAGTGTTTCCGGAAGGAACATAACCAGCACTCCGGACACTATCGAAATAACTGCAAATATTATAGAAGGAATTTTGGGGTCGAAGGAATCCAAAAGTGTGATGAAGGGAGTCAAGGCTCCAGAAGTTCTAGCACACATTGCTCCCAATCCCATGGCGAAACTTCGTATCACTGTAGGAAATAATTCAGCGGAATAGTTGTAGATGACGGCAAATGAACTGGCTATGAGGAATTTTCCAGCGAATACAAAGGATGTTGACACCGGGCCTTGTACTACACTGACTGCAACAATGCAGCAGATACCTCCTAAAACCATTTCGAGTGAAGTGAGAGAGCGTCTTCCCCATCTGAAAATTGTATTTTTCATGAGATCACAACTACAACTTTAAAACGTTAACAGAAAATATGTATTGGAATATGCAAAAAACTATAGGAACATAAACTAAGATATAGGTAAGGTTTTAACAGGGCAGATCAAATAGTTTGAACAAAACTTTGAATTCGTATTATAAATTTACAAGAAATGCAAAGAAAATGAAAGGAATTTTCGTTTCTTGAAAAAATATTTTATTGTTGTTGCTTTGAAAATGGTCTCCATTATATATTATGCTCTTGTGGCCAGCACTTTTTCTAATCCTTGGAACACATCTCAAAATGGAATTTTGATAGTCTTTAGCTCTTTCAGCGATGCTCTTTTAATGTCATCTACAAGTTCCAAACTCCGTGAGTTTGGAACTTGTTGACGGTTTGACTTCATAGCGAGAAATTATAATACAATATGCCATTGAAATCTCAGAACTCAAGTGAGCAAAACCCTCACACTATTCGAACTTTTTTCGATCTTGGCTTGTCACTTTTCAGTAATTATGAATCGTCGTTGACTTCATTTAGTGACTTTCTTGAGAAACTTTCATTCGCCGCTGTCTTTGTTCAAAATTCAATAATTTTGTAACAAATTTTGCTGCCATTCGCATAGGAATGAGCCAATCGATATGACAATATCATCAGCGATTCTCTGATTGTGATTTGGCGATCGTTTATAACCAGGCCCGCATTGGACCCCTTCTTAGGGCGGTGGACGACCATGACCAGAGGGCAACAGGGGGATGACTACCGGAGGTCTGGGGTGATATGTAATATAATAAATAAATTTTGAAATTTAATCTCTAAATACGCATTTCAAACGATTTGATAGCTCCAAATCCACTTTATTTACATGCAAATATTGAAGCTTTTTTTTCTCATTTTATGCTTCAGGATCACTACTTCACACTACAAGCACCTCCCCCCTCCACTCCTAATCTTTGTTGTTTCAGAGCTGTTAGTCGCTCATGACGCTGGGTTCAAAATGTTTTTTTTGGCAGCTGATCACTGTATGAATGGACCATCAGATTTACACACATAGGAATGTACCAGTATTTGTCAAAAAAATGACCATGTATTATTTGATACATGATGGAATTTGCCGATACTTGATGAAAATCTATAATTAACTTATTCAAAAAATACTTTATTGCGAGATTTCCACTTAACAGTTCAACAAAAACTCAACACGTGTTTCGCCATACTATGGCTTCTTTAGGTATGTCTTAACTTTACTGGGGTTAGTAAGACACGCCCTAAAACTAAACTAAGAGAATATATCTTGAAATAGGTTGACAATTTTCTATTTTCACATATGCATGCACATATGATGCATCAATAATATTAATGGAGAAGTGGTATAGACTTTGGAGTACATACCAATTATAGTTCACATTTAGTGGGAAAACAGTTGATAAAATATTTAACAATTAGTTTTCAAATCAAAATTATTCATACTTCAAAAACTAGTATAATATCGTGATGTGTTTTTCAAAAATAAGTCAGAAATACTTTGGCGATCAAACCGTGTTTGAAGACTGTATCGCGGAGAGATACATACGTACCAGAAAATAAATATTTCGAAATATTCATCTCTCCCAACTAGCTACACCGTTGGGTCAGCTAAATGCCTGCTGGAAAACAACTACTTTCCCGGCTAATACTACGCTGGACATTGAATTATATTCGACAGACATTAATGCAAGATACCTCACAGAGGTTAGTAACCCACATGTTTCTCATTCATTCAGCAGGACCATGCTGAAATTATTCAAGTAGATCACCTAATGATCGGTTTCGAAGTATTATTTCTCATTGGTGTAGGAAATATTCCACCCAAATAGCAAAGTGCCTGGGACTCGATTAATTTCAACGCCGCTCAACTGCATGTATGAAACCGCTTAGAGCTTTGTTCACGAGATGGAGCTGCTACTAGTTAACAATCTTTCTCTTAGACGAAGGTTCCATACATGCAGTTGAGTCGCGATGATAATACATCGAAAACGGTCTGTAGGTGATCTACTCGAATAATTTCAACATGGTTCTGCTGAAAAAGAAACATCTGCGAGACTAACCTCAGTAACGTATCTTGCATAAATGTCTGTCGGATATAATTCAATATCCAGCTTGGTATTAGCCAGAGAAGTAGTTTTCCAGCATGCGTTTACCAGAACTAATGATGGCACTCAAGAAGGAATTAATTTTTTCATATTTTCAAACAAACTCTCATTTGAATGATACATACCTATCCATTAAGTACACCGTGACGAAGTAGCTAGGGATTTCGATAAGACCCATTATGAAGATTATGAAGAAGGGATTGCCTTGGAGACTTCCTGTATTCAAAGAGAGCCCATAGTACACTATGGCGTTAGCAAACCAACACAGCATCACATTCAACGTCTTCTTTCTGAGATTGGGGGTTCTGAAGAGATCCAGAAATCCAGCTCTTTCTTCTCTTGTTCTGCTCTCCGATATTCCTTTACTAACGAATTGGGCGGCATCTACATTTATTGGATTTCCATTCATCTTTAATGCTTTCTTTATTATGCCTAGCGATTCTTTTATTCTTCCATTGTTCCACAACCACCTGTTGAAAAAGTTTATATTATTCGAATACAACTTTCTTGAACCCTTTTCTACACATACAATTCTGAGATAGAAGGGGAGTCGGTTGGTTAGCGTGGGTGGTTCGTTCTACTCGTTCATACGACCGCTTTGTGAACGATGGATCGGTATGCTTTGGAACTGGTTAGATTTTGATAAAATGGATGTATTGTTTCCATAGACAACCCTTATTTTCGAGTATGTATTATAACTAGCTGAATCATTTTGTAACTCAGGTGCCTTCTTAGATCGCCATTAAAAAAGTCCCTGATTGAGTTGGTAGTAAATTCATGTAGAATCCTGCATTGGCCACAAGAATGTCCAGAAAAGATATGTGAGAAATGCGATTGATTCGGGTGCAAAAACAATCAAAATGAAAAATGCTACTTCAATGGTTTTAATAGAAAAAAGTAAATCAAAATTATATTGCCTTAGCATTTATCAGAGTTTATCATGCTTAGTTGATGATGTGAATATCATTCTCTTCAGTGGTTATCACCAATAATGGATAAGAATATTCAAATTTGGTTGAAGGTTCAAATATGTTGCCAATTAATTTTATTCCTCGATTACAACTCATCGACAAGTTCATCGTCATGGTCAACAATGTGTGTTATTGCTGCAGTCATAGCTTGACCAAATTTCAAATCAGGGCCCCCACGTCTGCTACTGAAATTGAAAGAAAGGTACCCTTCATTTAATTACTCCTTCAGCTTTAGACACGTCTTCAGTTGCTGATTTTGTGATTCTGTTGAAAAAAAAACCTAGTGGCGTAGCCTTTTCTGGTTTTACTGATCTTTTTTGACAATTTCGTACAGAAACTTTCTATTTAAAGCTAATTCTGAAATAGCTAATACATCATATTCATTACTCACAAAAATGTTTTGAATCGTCATATACCAGTAGCTAAACAACCGACAAAAACAAGAATCAATCGGCCAAAATCGTTCGACTTCCCTTTTTTTTTGAAATATGTATTAATAAAAACAAATACTTCCAACAGATCCAATTGAAAAACTGTTGTGATATTTTCCTTTGGGTCGTCTGAACATTCCAAACACCTATTCCAAGCTTCAAAAAACCAATTGTTATATAACCTAACCTAACCTACTGTGTAGGGAGTTGAGACTGGCCTGAACGAATTGTTCATAGATAATTTGATTTATAGCCAGTCTTCAAGTATGCCCACTGACTATATGTGAAAGTTTTCTTTCCTTATACGAGGAATTGAGCAAATTTCGGATATGCAGTTGGTTACCTCGTTCACAGGCAGATGGGGCGACGACAAACCTGTTGTTTGTTGTATGCTTCAGCTTAGTTCGAGGAATGATACTCTGACGGAATTCGATTTTCAATTATCGGAATTCATCGACTTTATTATGTTGATGATATACACTACCTTGCACTGACTAGTGGCCAAACAGCCCGAATCCGGTCTGCAAGTGTGTTCCAATAATTGAAAATCTATTGCGGCAGTTGTATCGCCAACAATATATGCAGAAATAACTTCTGTGAATAATCTTGCACTGCTACCTGTTGGATATAATCCAACGCCCTTCGTGGTATTAGCCAGGAGAGTAGTTGTTTTCTGATAGGTGTCAGTCCATTAACCTACTGTATAGGGAGTTGAGACTGGCCTGAACGAATTGTTCATAGATAATTTGATTTATAGCCAGTCTTCAAGTATGCCCACTGACTATATGTGAAAGTTTTTCTTTCCTTATACGAGGAATTGGGCAAATTTCGGATATGCAGTTGGTTACCTCGTTCACAGGCAGATGGGGCGACGAAAAACCTGTTGTTTGTTGAATGCTTCAGCTTAGTTCGAGGAATGATACTCTGACGGAATTCGATTTCACGAATGGCCTGAACGAATTGTTCAGGCCATAATTTAATTTTTATATAAGTTAGATCAATACAGAGGCATCGAAGTTATGTACAAGAGCACTCTTTGGCGATAATATACAGGGCTATTCAAATTCGTTTCTGTACATGGGGATCTCGTAAACGATAAGAGATAGAGGTCGGTTAAATCGTGGCAAAGTTGCGTATTTTAGAGACCTATTCAATGATGTGAAAAAATCGAATATAGCTCTTTTGGTTCTGGAGATATACAGGAAAAACCAAAAAATTCCAAATTATTTTGTTGCCTATATCTTCTTTATTCGCAGACATATTGAAAATCTGGTGACATTTTGTTATTGGCACTTGATGTGGGCTATCAGAATATGTCCATAAATCTTTTATATAGGGTGTCATCTGACTTGGGCCACCCCAATCTTCCAATTTTTAAATACGGACCTGTATTTTTTGTTGTAGTTTTTGGATCGTAGACGTTCACTTCATACTGAGAAATAAAATTTTATTTTATATTTTGGGATGTTTCGGTAATATTTGATTAAAATTGGGTGAATTTTTCCCTTTCAAATTACGGCCCTGGAAATTGGTTGACTGAGTAAAATAAAAAGCAATAGCAACTTTCACGTCTCCCTATGTACCGTACAGTTTTTAGAGAGTTTGTTTTTCATTTTTAGCTACGTATTCATATTTTTTCATATTTCCATTGCTCTGAGAGTTTTCTACAATTAACTTCGAATAAGAAAACCTTTTATGATTATCTGAAATATATCTACAACAAAAATATATTATATGTGTTTTGATGGGCAGAAAAAAAATGGGTAGCAATAATAACATCCNATCACAAACTTTCAAAAAGTATATCGCATGTTTCGCCATCACTCCCTTTTTTGTAGTGAATACAATACAGACATTTATTTTCGAGAATGACAGAGCAAGACTAAAAACGACATATTTGTAATCAGAAGGTGTAATTATGAGTTATGAACTTCTATTCTTCATGAAACTCATTAAAAACAACTGCAAACCATAATCAAAACATGCGGCAAGGAAATTATGATCATTTTCATCTCATCCCTACATTCAAAGAAATATAGGGTAATTCTTTTGAAATGAAGTTCGTGATACATATTTACATTATTACATTTACATTTCTATTATTTTTTATATTTTAAATTTATTTTACTGCTGCTTTTCAAATGTTTCCGTCATTAGAAATTCTAAATAAATGCTCACCTGGAATATAACATCCTGCTGATCCGACTATACCGTAGATAAACCTTATTACTAGAAATGAAATATACTCTGGGGTGAATGCAACACCAATACCGAGGATCAATTGTACCACTGCTGACCAACAAAATACGGGTTTTCTTCCAATTTTGTCAGCTAGGTTGCCTAGAACGACAGCACCTGTGAAAACTCCGAACATATATGCAGATTGGGCCACAGCTCCCATCCACCTGAGAAAATAAAAAAAAATGAAAAAGTTTTGTTTTTCATTTCACAGCAAGGTCCTATTATGAGAAAGTCGACGAAATGAACCGAAAATTGCGTCAGCAGCAGCCGTCACTGGTCAATTAAAAATTCAACAAATTGAGCGTCAGACCTCTCGTCAACCGACTACCATCTTTTCAAACACTTCGACAACTTTCTCACCGGTGGAATCTTCGCCAATCAGGAATAGGCAAAAACGGCCTTCGTCGACTTCAACCGAATCCCGAACACACAATTTTAATGCTGATGGAAATAATCGACTTGTGTTATGCTGGAAAAATTGCAGTAATTTAATATAATAATAATAATAATTTTTTATTTCCAGTCAGACAATAAAATTGTGTGAGAAGTGTCAATACAAAATACAGATTAAAAAAGAAAATAAAAGAGGAAGACAGGCTCATACTCTAAAACTGATATGAATATGAGTTATTCAAAGAATTCCTGCAAAGCATGAAAACACTTTTCTAATAAATAACTCTTTAATGATTTTTTGAAGGCAGAAAAACTATTCAAGGACTTTAAATGATCTGGTAGGTGATTATATATCTTTGGACCAATATATTTCGGTGCACATGACGTTACTTTGAATCTAGCTAAGGACAAATGAAAATGATTCTTGGTTCTAGTATCATGTTGATGAAGTTTCATATTTGTTGAAAAAGTTGATTTATTTTTGAATACATACATACACAGTTCAAGAATATAAACTGATGTTAAAGTTAGAACAACGTACTCCTTAAAAAGTGCCTTGCATGATTCTCTGTTTGAACAATTTGGTATGCACCTCAGAATTCCTTTTTGTGCTCTAAAACATTTCCAAATGTGGAAGATCCATCCCAGAAACAGACACCGTACCTGAGTCTAGATACTACTTATGCATAATTTATACTGAGCAATTGACTCTTTGTTAAAACTGTTCGTAAGTTGATAAAGATAAGTTTTGAAATTAATTGTTGACAGTGGGCTTTTTAGTTGAGAAACTCATCTAGAATGATATATGATGGAATCGGCCGATACTTGATGAAAATTCATAACTAACGTATTCCAAAAACACTTTATTGTGAGATTTTCACTAAATTGTTTTACAAAAACGCAACACGTGTTTCGCCATACAATGGCTTCATCTGGCGTGTCTTTCAACTAATTCTACACATTCAATACTAAATATATATATAGTTTATGGAGTACCTGAAATCAAAGTACCTGTAAACGAAGTACCTGAATTTTAAGTAGCTGATATTTTACCTGAGTTTCTAACGAATTAAATTACCTGCACTTATGTTCCATTTTCACATTTGAAAAAATATATTCAGTAACGGAGAGTTATTGAGTTCTAATTGATCATTCAGTAAATTACCCGAATTCCTGAATCTATTGATTTCTAAACATTCTAGATGATTAAGTTTCAAACTCTTCTCTTCTAAATGTAACACCTCGTACTCATGATTNGAAAAATGCTATTCAAAATTAGATATACCTGTTTTGTAACATGTTTAATCTTATTAATAGAGTCAGACTTGATTTAAGAAACATTTATCAGTTATTGGCAGAAATTAGGTCTCATCTGATTGATGATGGCAGAAATTTTGATGAGCTTGGTAATCTTCTGTGGCTTTTGATCTATGAATGAACCATTTATGTACTGTTCTCAAATAACAATTACTATTATTATTATTATTACATATAAATAAAGGCTGAGGACAGAGTTCTATATAAGCCTAAAAACTAAAGGGATCAACAAGTTAATACAATGCTTGACAGAAATACACGGTATACTAATGGGCCGAAAACTGAAAATGGTATATACGGGTACTGAAATATTCTGGTCCTTCAAGTTGAACTAAATCCAAGTTTGTAATCCGCAAATAATATCAATCTGAAGTCTTAACGAAATGAGCAAATTATTATTTTTACACAAATAGACGAGCCGCACTACGAGCATTGATGAACACGAAAGTGACATCAAAGTTTTTCTGGGAATGCCAAAAAGAATTGAAGGAATGGACGAGCAGAAATAGATAAGGGCCACTGGCAATGAAATAGCTGATAGGTGCACCAGATACGAATCAATAAATGTGACAATAAATTGCATCATTTATTGTTACTGGGGTTAGTATAAATAAATATGACTCACAAATCCTCATCGGTCATTGTTAATTTTCAGTAATATCTTAGGTATCTCCCACTGAGTTTTCAAAACGAACCTTCGAAAACAAAATAAACGACAATAACACTGCTGTTTTTCACTGTTCCGTAACGGCCCCAATATACAAGACGATAGTCCCCAGTAAGATTCCGACACCGCTTTTAAAGAAAATTTTCTGGTGGAAATCCACGGTACCTCGCGAGACGTCTTTTTCTGTTATTGAGTGAGGTGTCGCCCCTATACCAGAAGCCTAGGCCCGCTTGCCGGGATACCCCGTGTTTACTTCCATTTCGTCATCAGACTAGATTCGGACTCCGCTTTGGAACATTTCTCCAAAATGTCCCTCAAAACCGTGCCTAGTAACCGACCACGAAATAAAATACGAAGAAACTCCTGTCCTACCTGCCACGCACGACTTCATAGGGAGGACATTGAGATCTGAAAGCTTCCCAATAGAAAAAAGAAGTTATACTGGCAAGCAGAACGTGATATCCAGTACTCAAAAAGGTTCGAAATGTACTAGAATACAGCTCCGATGGACATCTCACCAGTAGCATACCTGTCAACAACGCGTATCAATCAGAACGACCTAGTAACAGTGCGGACAAATCAGGAGTGAGCATTTGCCCTCAACACCGTGTCTGTCATCAGACCGACTGCCGTCCCCGCCACCATCCCCACCACCCGCATCCGCTGAAATTATAAATACAAGTGAAACGTAGCTCGCCAGTCGATCGTTGCTGAGACTTCGAAATACAATCTTCCTTCTTGCAGTCAACACACATACCATTGATGTTTGCCACAGTAGTAAACGAAATGTTTGGTATTTCAGGTTCCATTCGACCACAGCCCACCAGCCCGAATTTTGTTCACTTCAAATATTGTATAATGTTTGTGTTATAGAATGATCAATTATGGCATTCCTGACATATCAGAGGTGAGATCGTCCATCATTAATACCAAAAAAGAATTGTTGTTCTTCTGATAGATGGAATTTGCATTACTGCGGAAATGGAATATCGATTTGAAAATTTAATTGGATAGGTACGCTTCTAATGAAAAAAACCGTTTTAGCATTCATAATCTCTTCAGCTTTCTGAAACTATCATGAAACGGTCTCGTTAGTCGTGAATGTAATTGCCAAAAAATATTACTGGAGATTTATCTCAACACTAAACCGTTATTTTTAACACCTCGACACGTGTTTCAAATACTAAGTGATCATCTTCAAGAGGAAGTTTATAATTTCTCTTGCAGATGATCACTTGGTGATTGAAACACGTCTCGATGTTTAAAAATAATGGTTTGCTGTTGGGATTAAACTTCAGTTTTATTCATTACTACACCAAAGGTTCCAAACAGTGCCATCACAAGTTATCGCCAAAGTTCAGAAATGTGGCTTTGAATTTTGTATATTATAAGTTATAATCAATCACTCAATGAATCACTCAAAGTAGGGGAACGTGGCCTATGACGGCCCTCTTATCATATTTTGATAAGATTTATGTAGCCTATATTTAAAATGATTTATTTTATAAATACATATATCCCTCCAATTATCGACTAAACCAACCGCCACTGTTTTATGGTCCAACTTACTTCCCGTAAACAAAGTTATGCTGCCTTTTCAATGTAAGGATGGATTGTGTTTTGTTACTCTGAGTTCAAGGCAGTCCGTGTGGCAAAGCAGTGCGCCTGTGAATTTTCGTACGTACTTACAAGCCTAGATCTGAGGAAACTTACATTTCTAAAACTATAAACTATAGGTATAATCGAGAAAAAGTTATGGGTGGTCGAAAGTAGTTCAATTGCTTCCTTAATAAAAACAAAAGAATATCTGTTCGAACTTGAACAAACTTCTCTTGTAAGAGCGCAGGCATTTAATAAAGAAAACATCGAAGCTTTGTATCAGTCTCTGGAAGAAGTAATGGATAAACACAAGTTTCGCCCGGAAATACAGGGTGTCCCTGGACTTCCTCTTTTCCTCTCGGGAATGTATAGATGGGGTTAAAATATCACCAGTACTTCATATAACTTTTTTTCCTAAAATCCTTCGTTACCAAGTAACGGGCCCTCGAAGTTACAAAATGAAAAATGTTTTTCTTTGATAACTTTTCAAGTGAATATTCAAAATCATCCAAATTTTGGTAA